CATTCTTGTTGTTTTTTCGCTGGTTTTATTCAGTTACATGGGTATTGTTTGCTGTTATATCTTAGTTACAGTCAGTAACAGGTTGTGAACAGTTAGTTCAGAATGGAAAAGTCAAGAGTGTTCGATTTTCCAAAGCTAGATGGCAGCAATTGATTGGAGTTGGTACATGAAGTTGTACTTGCTGGACAAAGGTTTGTTTGATTATGTGGATGGAACCATAGCGCAACCAGAAAATGCTGCTGCAGTTTCAGCGTGGCAGCGTGAGGACAGGAAAGCACTCGCAGCAATTTGTTTAGCTGTTGAACCTTCGCAGAGAGTCCATGTGATGGTGACAGAGACGTCCAAGGCTGCGTGGGACGCATTGTCAGGTCAGTTTGTCAGAGTTTCTTTGTCACAGAAGTGTAGACTGAGGAAGAGGTTTCACTCACTCAATTTGGAGAGAGGAGGAGACGTTGTACATCATGTCAATGATTTGATGAATTTGCACGAGGAGTTGCGACAGATGGGAGAAGAGATCTCAGACAAAGATCTAGCGATGACATTGATTGGAAGCTTGCCACACGAAGTTTTCCAGTCATTGATTGTTTCATTGGATGTGATGATGGAGGAGAAGATGTGTTTCGGCATGGTGAGGAGTTTGCTAGTTTGTGGGGTAGACAGAAAAGCAGAAAGCAGTAATGTTTTAGATGCCAGAACAGCGATGATAAAGTTGAGTGGAAGATGCAACATTTGCAAGAAAGTTGGACACATGGCCAAGAATTGTTTCCAGAAGAAAGGGCAGAAGTCTTCGACTCCAAGAGGTGTCGAGTGTCACAATTGTGGGAAGATAGGCCACATTGCGAAAAGTTGCTGGAAGAACAATGATGCGAAAGGAGGGCGGTCAAAAGCTGCAGTTGCCTGTGAGAAGGAGGAAGAGATAGCGCTGAAGTGTTCGACGAAGCATAGCAAGGTTTATTGGATTTTTGACTCAGGAGCATCTCAGCATATGACTCCGAACTTAGATCTTATCGACAATTACAAGAAGTACGAAGTTCCGCGAGCAGTCAAGTTGGGCGATGACGCCGTTATCCCAGCTTATGGCTGTGGTTCTATGTCAGTCAAACTGGAGAATGGAGAGATACCAAATGTACGGCTACACGATGTTCTCTATGTACCAGATCTCGGCAACAGTTTGTTGAGTGTTCCGTCAATGACGAAGCGTGGAGCACAGATTTTGTTCAGCGGAGACCAATGTACAATCATGAAAGGCAGCAAAGTTGTTGGAAAATCAGCAACTAGTGGTTATGTTTTGAGTATTGAAGTAGCAAAGTCCGAAACAGCTCAATTTGCTCTTTCGGAGAAATCGATGAAATTGCGGCATGGACGTTTTGGCCATGTAAATGTTCAGTCGTTAAAGAAAGCCGCAAGCAGTAAAGCATTTCTCGGGATGGGGGATGTTGCGTACGAGAAGTTCAACTGTGAGAGCTGTGCAGATGGCATACAGCACAAGACCTCGTTTCCGAAGTCAGTTAACCAGTCGTCAGAGTTACTTCAAGTTGTGCGCAGTGATGTTTGTGGAACAATGGAAACAGACTCACTTGGTGGTTCGAGATACTTTGTAACCTTTTTTGATGTTAAGTCCAAGTATGTACATGTGTATTTCATGAGTCACAAGAGTGAGGTCACAGAAGTGTTCAAGAAGTTCTGCAACATGGCAGAGAATCGGACAGAGAGACGAATCAAGATTCTGAGAAGTGACAATGGAGGAGAGTATCGTTCGAAAGAAATGGAGAAGTTCCAGAGTGAGAGAGGAATAGTTTGGCAGACAACAATTCCATACACACCAGAACAGAATGGAGTAGCAGAAAGGATGAACCGAACAAAACTGGAAACCGAGAATTCAATGTTGTCGTTTGCGAAGTTGGACAAGCCTTTCTGGGCGGAAGCAGTCAGCACTGCAGTTTACATACGGAACAAAAGTCTTCCAAGCAACGACAGTGTTACACCATACGAGAAGTGGTTTGTTACAAAACCTGATGTTTCGAACCTTTGCATTTTTGGAAGGTTCGAAACAAGGAGCATGGTTGTAAGTCGAGATGTCAATTTCTTGGAGAGTCAGTTACTTAAAGATAGTTTCCTTGTCACTGAACTGTCAGGAGGAGAAGAGTTTTCTAGCCAGCAGAAACAGATTGCGATAGAAATTGTGCAAGATGAAGAAGGTGCCACGACAATACCAGACGATACCACTGTGGTTCAGGTGGAGCCAGTAGTTGAAACAGTGACTGAGGAACCACAAATGCAGCCGACGTACGAGAGAACGTTTATGAATTCAATTGAAAACCTACCAGACAAGCGAAAAAGGAAGCCCGCAGCAGTTTGCTGTGTCGCGAATGATGTAGTTGAAGAACCGAAGACACTGAAGTCAGCTCTCAATTCCGCACACTCTGAGGAGTGGATGAAAGCAGCGGAAAGTGAGTTTCAGTCTCTTACGAAGATGAAGACGTGGCAATTAGTTCCTAGAGAGAATGAATGTTGTTGGTAACAAATGGGTTTTCAAAGTGAAGAGAAATTCAGATGATACCATTTCAAGATTCAAATCTCGTTTAGTAGCTCAAGGATTCAGTTCTCAGATATACGGAACAGACTGAGGATATACTTAACAGATAATTGGAACAGACGGAACAATTGAGTTCTCAGATATTTGAGTGGTTCTTGTTTTACTGGGTTGTGTTATTCAGCTTTTTTACAGAAGCAAGTTATTCTTACTGGGTTTCAGACGCTAACTGGGTAAATGATATCAATAATAGAATTTCCACTTCCGGTTTCGTTTTATTTATTGGGAAATGTTGTGTTAGCTGGAAATCGCATAAACAGCGATGTGTTGCACGTTCAACAACTGAAGCTGAGTATGTTGCGCTCAGTGAATTTGTGCAAGAAGCTATTTCACTGAGACGGTTACTCAGTGAGCTGGGTTTTCAGCAAACCGAGCCAACTAAAATTTATGAAGACAATCGTGGTGCAATCGAGTTGAAAAATCCCAAGTTTCATAATCGTACCAAACATATCGATATTGCTTATGATTTTACTCGTGAGAAAGTGTTATTTGGAGAAATTATTATCGAATTTTGTAGATCTTATGAGCTGCTGGCAGACTGTATGACCAAGCTTCTCCCGAAGCCTATGTTTACCAGTTTCTTAGAAAAACTGAATGTATATCCTGATGAATGAAAGTAATCAACATGGAGGAGGGTTGAGTATAAATGACTGAGCTGTTGATTTCTTGTTAATCATAATTGTTTCTGGTTTCAGAGTAATGTCGTGTAGCCATTGATTGAATTGAGATCATGACGAATTCGTTTTTATAACAACACTTTTTTACCGCAAATAACTGTTCATAGGACTTCTGGGTTCCTCTTGTTCCCCTTTGTTTCATAGTTATTTTCCTTGCGTTTAGAAAGGGTATTGCAATCGGTTACAAGCCTTTTTTCCAGTATACAACTTTGTCTACAGGACTCTTCTGGTCTCATCTCTAGCTTGTTTCATAATGTATCAAATTTTTTACAGTTCTCGGCCAATTTAGGCTGGAGGTAACGAACATGCCTGGGACGGCAAAGGTCCTGGTTTTGAATCTGACAACGACCTGTTTTTTTTACGGGAAATATTCTGTTTCAAATAAAATAGTTCGCCAATTTTTTGTCTGCTTATCTGTTGGCGGCGTAAATGTCACATCTAGAATTTCTTTTTTGCGCGCATTTTGCTAATATGGTTTTTTAAGTGTTTGATTTACGCCTTTAGTTTGTAATTTTACTTACCCTGACATCGCAATCCTTTTTTTTTTTAGCAAAGTATAGCATCAGTATATCAAAATCATTCAATATGAAACACGTACTACCAGCTTTAGCTGGGGCCCTAGTTGTTTTTATCGAGACATACGAAAATTTTTGTTCAACTAGTTCCCGGTCCATTTTTGGCGTTCCCGGTCCATTTAGTCTAGAGGCAACGAATACGTTTAGGATGGCAAAGGTCCTGTGTTCGAATCTGACCGGGCCCTGTTCTTTTTAAGGGGAAGTATTCTGTTAATAAAATTGTCGCCAATTATATGCCTGCTTATCTTTTGTTGGCTTAGTTTACCTATCTTGTAATCGTGTTTTTTTTTGCTGCGCTCATTTTTTTTTTCTCCTGCAATTTGTTTTGTTTTTTGATTTACTCCTGCAATTTACTCCTTAAAAACTATTCGGTCCAATGAATTCGGCTTAGTGACCTAAATGTTGGTCGACTCTAGGGAAACACATTTTTTACGCTTCTCTTCTTTTTTTCTGTTAGTTGTATTTTTATCACTCGGTTTGTAATTAGGGTTTGTAATCATGGTATATTTTTTTGTTTTTTCGCTTTGTTTCGGCTTGTTTTATATTGGCTTAGTAGCCTCTCTTTGCGTCGTTTGATGCGCGAAAAAAGTTATGTGCGCTTGTTTTTGCGTTATTTAGGGAAGGAGGACGTTAAAGTTTCATTTTGTTTTGAAATCAAAGAAATATCAGCTGACACTTCTGGTCAGGTATTTACGGCTTTGTCACCGCATGGTTGTTTTTGTTCCGATGCTGATTTTGCATTCTATTGTTTCGGCATGTTTTCACAACTATCTTCATTAGTTTTGATAGATCTAGTTAAATCGCAAGTGATGCGAAGCTGAGCTTCGCCTCTGTGTCACTGTTTCTATTTCGCTAATTTGTTCATCAGTGGCCTTTCTCTTTGATTCTTCTTATTTTTGATTTCGTAATTATAGATATAATTTTTAGGCTAGTTATTTGGATTTAAAACACCGAAATTTTTGCAGCTACTCAAAAAAATTTAAATCAAGAAGTTAAGTCCCCTCAAAATGTAGCTATTTAAAGTTAAATATAAAAGTAATAGCTATGAATTATTTTAATTGTTTGGGTATATAAGCGGTTTCTTGACTTCACAATCGACAATTTTATGATAATTTAATTTATAGTAAAAATAATTGGTTTGATTGATTGTTCCAGACCGGAGGACGAGGATACGAGAGACGGATGCAGTACCCGCTGGGTCTGGTGCTGGCGCCTACCAGAGAACTCGCTCTTCAGACATTCGAAGAGGCCAAAAAGGTAGAATGGTCATATACTATGGTCCTTTACTAAATAACCTCGCCCTTCCTAGATAAGGAAGTTTTATGTTGAACATGCATGAAAATCGAACAGAGCAACCAAATTTTTGTTCGAAAACCCAAAGACGAACAAGCCGAGCTATCAGAATTGGTGCTGCTGAAAATGTTTAGAATATTAAGGTACCACGAATGAGAAAATTAATCAGAATTGAGGAGTTCTGTTCGATTGTAATGCTCTACTTTGTTCACAGAATGCCATTTTAGTAGGAATGGTAAATATTACGTCCGACATGCTCAAATTCTTGAAATTCAAATAAAACCATCATTCGAGTAGTAATTAAATAAAGAACTTCAGCTTGTAATTAATTTTCAAAAAATTCTCAATTTTTTTCGTGTTTCTTTTGTTTCAGTCGGTTCATTTTCCATTTTGTTTTTAACGCCATTTTTAAAATTCTGATAAGGTTTTTATAGCTGACTTTCTAAAGGATAGGTTTTGTTACAATTGAAACAGTTTTTACTCTAACTTAAAGTTCAGTAGTTAGTAAATTTACAAAGTCTGATTTTGGCTACTTTAACAGTTAATGTTATTTTTGTTAAGTCAAATTGTATTGCGTAGAAAGAAAGAAAGAAAAAAAAATTATTTCTCCAAATCATTTCAAAGTAAGAAGTTTGAACAAAAATAACAGCAAAGAATATACTAGCACCTTATTTTGTCCTCTTTAAAGTTTGATAGATCCTCTTTAGTCTGTTTGATATGATTCTTCATTGCATTGTCAAAACTTTGTAGGAGAGAAAAAAGTATATGTTTATTAATACTTATTTTGCAAAAAGAAAGAGAAAGGACGCTAAATAGGGGAAACTATGTTCGTGTATGATTGTGTTTCAGTATGGATGGGTCGTAAAAAGTTATTTAGCTTCTTGAATTTTTTTGCTGACAACAGTTTTGTTTCCAGCTCGGCAGGTTTCGACCCAAAATTTGTCGCCTTGTTGCCGCTAGTTGAATGATTTCCTATTGTTTTTAAGGCTGTTTTTGAAATTCATCTGGTACAACCATGAAGTTTTTGTAGCTGTAGTTTTTCCAACTTTCGAGTTATTTTTTCAAGTTATTTTACTTTTTCGGACTTCTATTTTTTCCATTCACTATCTTGTAGCGCAATTCAATGTTTTTCAAGCTAATTCAATACTGGCTGTTGTATTCTGCCACAGGTTTCCATAAATTGAGTTTCATTTTGAGACAAACATTTGAAATTTTTGGGTGTTTTTTGGCGTTTTGTCATTTTGTTTTGCGATAAGGTGGATTTCTGCATCGCAAGTGGTACAAAGCTCAGCTTCGCCTCTGTGTTCATTTTATGTTCTTATATCTCAATTTAATGATTTCAGTTCTCCTATCGTTCGCGTGCTCGACCCTGCGTGGCGTACGGAGGAGCTGACATCGGATCCCAGTTGCGAGATCTGGAAAGAGGATGTCATCTGCTGGTGGCGACTCCTGGGCGTCTCGTTGACATGTTGGAGCGAGGCAAGGTTTCCCTGAGGCACTGTCGTTTTCTGGTCCTTGACGAGGCCGACAGAATGCTGGACATGGGATTCGAACCCCAGATCAGAAACATCGTTGAGAAACAAGATATGCCAAGTGGTTATGACGGAAGACAGACACTCATGTTCAGGTAATATTGTGTGTTTTAAATGAAGTAGCTGCTGTTATCCATCTGTCAGATTTTATTTTTAAATCCTTCATTTCACAGTTGCTTTCACAAAGAACAATCAGTCAAATATTTAATACGCTTGCCATTAGCAAGCGTTATCAAATTGGAACATAGACTGTTTTTTCGAGTTAACACATTGTTCAACAGAATAACTTGTATATTGGTTCATAATGAGTTCAAACTTCTATGCATGTCCGACTGGAGGTTAAAAGTACGCCTGGGATGCCGAAGGGTAAAAAGTACTGGAGGTTAAAAGTACGACTCGAAGTATCCTACAAAAAGTCGGCCTATAGTTAGTCTGCTTATGTTTTCCTGCATTAGTTGCCCTATCGTAGATTTGATTTTTGTATGCTTTTTTCAAATATTTTTAAAGTTTTTAATTACTGCGCAATTTTAAATTTTTCTATATTTGCCTTGAATTCTTATATTTTGCAGTTTTTGTTTTTTTTTCGCTTAAAAACTGAATTCGACTTAAAAGATTTCGGCTTATATTTTATCGGCTTAGTGACCTAATTTGAGGTCTTTTCAAGAGAAGCATAAGTTTTATGCTTCAATGCGGATCGCACAAAATGTTGAAATTCCTAGAATAGAATTTATAGTTCAAAATTTTCCATGAAAAAAAAATATTTTAGGTTCTATGGGAAACTTCAAGTTTTTTCGGCTCAGTTGCCGCTTTTTCCAGACAACATTTTAAGTTTTTGTTGGACTTTAGCAGACAGGAAATTGTTTCGAAATTGCTGCAATTGTAGTTTAATCAATTGTGGAGTAGCTTATTGGTGTTTTAGTGCAACGTTCCCAAAAGAGATCCAGATGTTGGCGAGGGACTTCCTGCAGGACTACCTGTTTCTGGCTGTGGGTAGGGTGGGCAGTACCAGCGAAAACATCACCCAGAAGGTGCTCTGGTGTGAGGAGGAGAATAAACGCTCGCTGCTGCTCGATTTACTGGAGGCATCTGGTAATTAAATTGTCCTAGCATGTTTTTATGGCTGTTATCCTAGTTCTTATCCAAATAGTTCCTTCCAAATTTGAAGAATTTATAAAGTTTAAGGTTCTTAAAACATTAAATGCTACTTTCAATTTTGTTGATAAGTGGTAATGAACGAAACAAGTTATCACTTATTGCGGCCCTGCGTTTTTAAGTTTATTTTGCAGCTGCAAGTTGTTCACGCTCAAATTCGATTTTTTTTGCAGTTTAACTCATGATTTCTTTTCAAGTTGAATTCAAATTCATTTGCTAAATGGCAGCCTCATTTAATTAGGTGAGGCGAATACACTTGAATTACTTGGTCTGAAAAATGAAGACTTCAACATTTTACAATTAAGACTTCAGTTCCAAGAGTATTAGTGTTATTACACTTGCCAGCTAGCGAGCGTTGTGTATTAGTATGAACCTACTATTTCCCAACCTAACTTGCTAATGAAAGTGCTCATTTGGCGGCACTTTTGCTGTAATCACGATCTGTACTATATGAAATTTCATAGAATCTGTTCTCTGCTTTATTTGTGGCTAGTGTTTGTCAATCATTGGCGCCCGTAAGGATTTTATACTCTAAATTTCGAGGTCGCTGATTCGAATCCGTCGTGAAGCGAAAGTTTCACTAATTATAGGCCTATTTGTTTTCTCATTTTAACTTTATAGAGCTGCTTTTTTGTTTTCTTGCTAGTGATTGCGAGGCGCAGCTTCGCCTCTGTGTTACGCTTGAAATTAGTAAGCGTTAAAATATCGGAATATTGTTGTTATAGGTGAACGATTTCTGACCACAATGGTCCAGTGTTTAATGGGTCATTTTTTGCAACTTTGATAAGAGTTGATGAACGTAGTGCAGACTCTTATATAGGTGACGATAATTTTTTAAAGGAAAAGTCCTGAAATTTGTTCAGGCTCAAATTTTTCTGTTTTCGGGGTTTGACTTTGATATCTTTTTAAGTTCTAGTTTCGAAAGTGGAATTTAGTTTTCAGATTTCCCAGCGGAATAAAATTTTTTTTCTATTGATCCAGTTTTCTGAAATTGGATTAATTCAGTAAAAACGGGCAATCATAAATTGTTCTAGTTTAATTGAATCCTCCTTTATAAAGTGAGTAAGTTGGTTATTGAGCCTCCAGTAGATTGTCATATGAATGATCGAAATCATCGTTGTAGAAGCTGTTCTCAATTAGGTGCTGTATCTTGGGTTCTTTGTTGCAAAAGTCCCTGGCTGTTTGAGGTAGTGCGAAGATGGCTTTTGAGGGTGAGCTTATAGCTCCAAAGACTAATCGCGTGTACTGATACTGCTTAACTCCTTGGTTATTAGGCCACAAGGATCGCAGTACACTTTGATTGTCCTCTTTTATGCTCATCTGCAGAAAAATGACTTCTAAATCACCAGAGACCGCTAATGGTTTCTCTCATTAACAAAACAAAAGTGTTGCTTAGTAGATTCGGTCCCGTCTCTAAACAGAAATTAGAGAAATTCCTTTGAATTTGGATGCAGCATTCGTTAAGCGTCGAATTTGACCAAGTTTCTGGGGATTTATATTAGGATGGTTTGGTAGGTAACAAATTTGTAACGGTGGCGGATGTAGAAATGTCACAGGTATCATAGCCTTTTTGAGTATCAGTGGATATTGGTTAGTCCTTTTGTAGTCGTCGCTAGTAAAGTGTCAGCTGTGCTTTTCAGGACTTAGGAGCAGCTGCTACGTTTTTCCAGAACTGTATAGCAATGAACCGCTGGTTTGTTGTTGAATAAAGTAATTGGCGTAAACTGGAGATAATATGTCACCAATTTCTCATCTTCATAACTTGATTTGCGAATCTTGAGAGCGACCCTGCGTTGATTAGTCTAAGTATTTTTTTTTATCAGAAGAGGTTTGATATACAATTGTTTAATTTTCCGACTTATTTTATCAACGTTGTATGTTACATATGAATATATAGCGGTCAAGTTTTTGTGAGACGAAGTGCTAACAAATAAATGTAGCTTTGCCAATTTGAGCTCATTTCTCTTGGTTCAAAATAGACATTATACATTGTAAATAGTAGTAATGATACAATTCTATGCTCTTGTTCAGTGTTGGTAATATATATTTTTTAAAAGCCAAATAGATGCTTTTATTTTGGCGATCTCTTAAAATTATTCCAATTGTAAACTCTCTTGAAAATTTTTCGATAATTTTTACGTAATTAAAACGTAACTTTCAAGGTTCAAGGTGTCGTTTATGAACAGAGTATGATTCAGTTTGAGAAACCAGAAATGATACGCTAAGAAGTAACAAGACGTAGTTTTGTTCAGATCCGAACACTTTGACTTTAATCTTTGTGGAAACTAAGCGGGGAGCGGATGCGTTGGAAGACTTCCTGTACCGCGAGAAGTTCCCGGTGGCCTCAATCCACGGCGACAGGACTCAGAGGGAGCGTGAACAGGCTCTCAACTCATTCAAGCAGGGGGAGACACCCATTCTGGTGGCCACTGCAGTGGCCGCTAGAGGGCTCGACATCTCCAATGTGAAACACGTGATCAACTTCGATTTGCCCTCTGATTTCGATGAGTATGTGCATCGTATTGGAAGAACGGGCAGAGTGGGAAACACAGGTACATCCCTTCAGCTCCACTTCCTTTCCTATCTGTCTATGATTCTAGTCGTATTTTTAACAAACTTAACGATATTTTCATCAAGAGTCGATCAACGTTGTTCAGACTCTTGTATAGGTTGCGATAATTTTTTTTTCAGGAAAGGTCTTGAAATTGTTCAGGCTCAAGTTTTTCGCGTTTTGACTTTGATTTCTTTTTAAGCTCAGTTCATTTCCATTATCGAACAGCCAAAGTGATCGCGAAAAAGGTGATCGACTTCAATTTTTGAAAATGGAATTTAATTATCGGATTTCCCAGCGAAACAATTTTTTAATCCAGTTTTCTCAAATTGGGTTAATTTTCATCAAGAAAGTACCAATCATAAATTGTTCTGGCTGTCTGTTTGTTATCTTTTAGTTAAACGGGGGGGGGGGAGTTAGAGAAAGAAAGGCTGAGACGAAGATATCAGCAGCGGATGTTATCAAAGTAGCATTAAGAAAACGTTATTAGCTCATTTAATTTACGAGAAAAAAAATTAAATGCGTAATTTTATAGTGTAATTTTAAAGCGCTATAGCTGTTCTGGTGGAGTCTGTTATCTAAAACCAGAAATGTTTTATGGTTTTAATGTGGCCAATTTCTTTCTCCGATTGATTGTAAATTAGGCAAATTTTTAGGATGATCAACAGAACAACCTTTTGTTTCTTTCTTTCAGGGCTTGCCACTTCGTTCTTTAACGACAAGAACGTGAACATCGTGCGAGATCTGGTTGACCTGTTGAAAGAGGCCAAACAAGACTGTCCTGATTGGCTGCAAACCATGGCTGTGGAGAAGCAGCGTGCCAATTACTACAAGAGCCAGACGAGCCGAGGTCGGGGCGGGGGCGGAAACAGATTCGGAGGTCGCGACTACCGACAACAGCAACAGTACGGTAAACCTGGAGGTCCTCCCGGAAGGGACAACTTCGGCGGAGGAGCGTCCGGGGGTGGATTTCAGAGATTCAACAGTGGTGGAGGAGGAGGAGGTTATGGAGGTGCTAGTCGCGGAGGAGGGGCTTACGACAACGGCGGGTCGTTCCAGCCTCGGGTGCAAAATCAAAACATCGATTGGTTCAACGACTAATCTTTGCCCTAATGTGAAAGAGCAAAACATCTGCCCGCGATTCATTTCAAAGTGCAAAAAAAACAACTAAACCAATCAGCATTAAACGTGTATTATTCAAAACTGATGTGATTGTTGATTTAACACCAATAGCTTCTCGTGAAATGAAAAAACGGGCGACGTTTTCTGCATTTTGCCATTAAAAATACAGAAGACAGCTAGCAAATAAAATACAATCTCGCTACTACAAGTTGCCGCCGAAACAACTCTCCATTGAAGTCTACTAGCATGCACTTGGATCTCAAATTGTCGTTTCCCTTCAACTCTCCTCCTACACAGCTGGAATTCTGGAAGTGTACACGGCGGAATTCTGACTATCATCCATGGCAAACCTCCCTCCTTATTTAGTCATTTAACAGTAACAATTGCTACTCTGGGATTCAGATTCGACAGAAATTTTCACAAAAAAAATCACGGAAATTTTGAAACAGATCAAGCCAGAGAACTTTTTCATATTTAACTACTGTCCAGATTAGCACATGTTTTGGTTCCAGCGGAAGGCGAACTGCGCATCAGATTTTGGATTGGATGCAGATGTCAATCAGTTATCGCCGCGAACTAAAACTCAACTTAAATTATTCAATACTGGGAAAATGTCAATAATCTGCATATCATTTTAAAATGCTATCTTCTTTCCAGCGGCGAAACTGGGGAAAACCGGTTCATTCCAATACAATCACAGCAAACAAGAATGAAGGACAAAACTCAAGTCAAAACTCATTTTTGCATCTTTTAATCAATGGATGGATAACTTTCAGCCGTGCTCAGTTTAACTCTTGGCTTTCTGAAGCTAGTATGGTGCAATTTCAAAAGGTGCATTTTGTCCCAATTTTCTCCTCTAAGCCGCGTAAAGCCCAGTTTAAATTTTAGTTTTGACCCGGAGATATTTCATACTTAACTGTACACGAAATGATAAATAAAGTATGAAAATTTCTAGGCTCTCTGATTCAGCAACTCGCTTCCAAATGTTTGATATTTGCAAGGTGCTCATACTTAATTGTTTTTATCATTACCGCAATCTGTTTGAAATGATAATTGGGCACTTAAAGAGAACTCTCTGATCGTCAAAATATTCTTGCTCTTCTCAAAGCAGAAGGCAGTGGCGATTTCCTTAATCTAAGTTTTAGAACAATCTGGCAGTTGAAAGTGAAAGTGTAATAAATTAGTTTCTATTAGCTAATGTTGCCAAACAACTTAAACATCGAAACTTGCCCAGGAAAAACTCATTTTGCATTTTTCCTTCTGTGTAAATGAAACAATTTGAAAAATTACTTTGCCTGAGCTAGTTTCGTGTGTTTTGCTAAATAACGTTGCTCACTTAGCGAAAACTGTGCAAAAGTGAAAATTAATCTCGGTATTTTACTCAATGTCCAAGATTTATTGCTTCCTCCCATCAGAAAATCAAACTTTTGTCCTAAATATTTATATTACTTAATTTATTTAACCTCTAATTTTGGTTCGTTTTTACTATGTTACTGTGATATGTTTATTTTCGTCCCAAGACTTTCGTGTGACTTTTTGTTAATTGTTATAGTTGAACAAGATTATTTTACTGGTTGAGTGTTTGGATTTGACATTAAGCGAAGTTTAGGTGTTGGATCCAAGATCAACTACTTTCCCCTTCCTTCCCTTCCCTTCCCCATCCCCTTCTTTGTTGCCGTGGATTCAGTTGAGTTGAAGTGATGATTTGAGTATTATTTTACTTAAATGTGACGTCGACGTCTCACATTTAAATACAAACCAACACAGTAAATTTATATGGCAATTTGTGTAGCGATAGATTGATCAATTCAAATCTTTACTATCTAGTTTTAACCTCAGTTATGACTAATCACTGCACAACAAACGTTTTGCTGTAATACGAGTTCATTTTGTTCGGACTTTTTGCTCAAGTTGATACGAGCACGGTTTAGTAGCATGTGTTTTTATTACATGAGTTTCTCTTCTGACACGAAGCGAAAAGCTGTTTTTTGCATAATGATATTTCTGATTATTTTACTCACTTGTGATCCTGAAATAATTTTTCCCCGTAATCAACTTCTTTGCAAACCCGTGTTTCGTGCAGTTAAACTTGCATACAGACTGATGACATGCTCAATTTCTTGAAAGTTCGACAAAACTACCGTTATTTAGCTAAAATTTAGGTGGAACTCATTTTAAGCAGTAATAATTTTTTCGGAGAAATTTATTGAAAAAGTGCAGTTTTTTTTCGGTTTTTCAATTTTGGTCCTTATTTCCGTGGTTTGGTTTTCCGTTTTTTGAAAAGTCAATAAACTTGGGGAAACCTTGAGTTTCGCGGCTTGACTTATAATAATAATAATTTTATTTCCAAATCAAAACTTATAAGCATATACATTCAATGAACATGTACGTTTACAATAAAGTTCGGCTTGCGAGAATACCAAAAAGGCGTCATTTGTTTTTTGCATAATGATATTTCTGATTATTTAACTCACGAGAGCAAAAGTGCTTGGGATCCTGAACTAATTTTTTCCCCGTAATCAACTGCTTTGCAAACCATTGATTCGTTCTGTTAAAAGTGCAAACAGACTGATGACGTGCACAATTTCTTGAAAGTTCCATAAAACTACCGTCATTTAGCTTATAATTAGGCGGAACTCATTTTAAGCAGTAATATTTTTTTCGGAAAAATTTATTAAAAACGTGCAGCTTTTTTTCGGTTTTTCAATTTTCGTCCTTATTTCCGTGGTTTGGTTTTCCGTTTTTTGAAAAGTCAATAAACTTGAAGGGAAAACTTGAGTTTCGCGGCTTGACTTATATTAATAATAATTTTATTTCCAAGCCAAAACTTATAAGCATATACATTCAATGAAAATGTACGTTTACAATAAAGTTCGGCTTGGGAGAATACCAAAAAGGCGTCATTTGTTTTTTGCATAATGATATTTCTGATTATTTAACTCACGAGAGCAAAAGTGCTTGGGATCCTGAACTAATTTTTTCCCCGTAATCAACTTCTTTGCAAACCATTGATTCGTTCAGTTAAAAGTGCAAACAGACTGATGACGTGCACAATTTCTTGAAAGTTCAATAAAACTACCGTCTTTTAGCTTATAATTAGGTGGAACTCATTTTAAGCAGTAATTTTTTTTTTCGGAGAAATTTATTGAAAAAGTGCAGTTTTTTTTCGGTTTTTCAATTTTGGTCCTTATTTCCGTGGTTTGGTTTTCCGTTTTTTGAAAAGTCAATAAACTTGGGGAAACCTTGAGTTTCGCGGCTTGACTTATAATAATAATAATTTTATTTCCAAGCAAAAACTTATAAGCATATACATTCAATGAACATGTACGTTTACAATAAAGTTCGGCTTGCGAGAATACCAAAAAGGCGTCATTTGTTTTTTGCATAATGATATTTCTGATTATTTAACTCACGAGAGCAAAAGTGCTTGGGATCCTGAACTAATTTTTTCCCCGTAATCAACTGCTTTGCAAACCATTGATTCGTTCAGTTAAAAGTGCAAACAGACTGATGACGTGCACAATTTCTTGAAAGTTCCATAAAACTACCGTCATTTAGCTTATAATTAGGCGGAACTCATTTTAAGCAGTAATATTTTTTTCGGAAAAATTTATTAAAAACGTGCAGCTTTTTTTCGGTTTTTCAATTTTCGTCCTTATTTCCGTGGTTTGGTTTTCCGTTTTTTGAAAAGTCAATAAACTTGAAGGGAAAACTTGAGTTTCGCGGCTTGACTTATATTAATAATAATTTTATTTCCAAGCCAAAACTTATAAGCATATACATTCAATGAAAATGTACGTTTACAATAAAGTTCGGCTTGGGAGAATACCAAAAAGGCGTCATTTGTTTTTTGCATAATGATATTTCTGATTATTTAACTCACGAGAGCAAAAGTGCTTGGGATCCTGAACTAATTTTTTCCCCGTAATCAACTTCTTTGCAAACCATTGATTCGTTCAGTTAAAAGTGCAAACAGACTGATGACGTGCACAATTTCTTGAAAGTTCAATAAAACTACCGTCTTTTAGCTTATAATTAGGTGGAACTCATTTTAAGCAGTAATTTTTTTTTCGGAGAAATTTATTGAAAACGTGCAGATTTTTTTCTCGGTTTTCAATTTTCGTTCTAATTTCCGTGGTTTGGTTATCGCGGTTTGACTTAAAATAATGCTAATTTTTTTTCAAGCCAAAACTTATAAGCATATACATTCTATGAAAATGTACGTTTGCAATAAAGTTCGGCTTGGGAGAATACCAAAAATGCATCAGCCTGTCGGGTGGCATCTCCATGTGCAAAATCTGTTAGTCTACTTTTTAAACTAAGATCATATAGACAAAAGGACCGCAAAATTGCTTCAAATATCAGAAAAAAAAACTAAAAGAGAAAAAAATATGTTTGGTTTGGTGTTGTCTAACAATCAAAAATAAATGTTGCAAAAGTACTATACAAGGGGTTGAAAATTACCATAACATACTTAAAAAATATTCGTTCTCAAGTATATATGTATCTTATTCAATCAAAAAACGAGTCCAAAGATTCATTGGTAGTTGTTAACGCTTTAAGAAGAATTTTTTTTATCTAACTGTAAGAATTAATTATACCGAATACGGATCTTATTTTCGATTTTTTTTGCTCTTGTAGTAAGCTTATTTCAGCTGCATAGTTTTTTTCTTATTTTGCCTGTTTTGATAGTATCTGTTATCTCCTGTTCACTTATGTATTCTTGAAATTTTTTATTTCCACGAAATTTAAATCATTAGTTTATATATGTAACTCTCGAACCAAATAGAGCTTATGCTTGTCTCGAATTTCCTGTTTCAGTTGCTGTATACAATGCTCAATCATCAGCAAACAGTACAACTTAATTAAGCCTACAGACGTTTGGCAAATCGTTTATATACAGCAAAAACAACGAAGGACCCAGGACTGAACCTTGCGGTTCACCATAGTAGATTGTTTTTCTGTCTGATTTTGAATTGTTATAACTAACGTACTGTTCACGATTTTCAAGGTATGATCTCAAAAGACCAATAATTTTATCTCGTAAACCGTATATTTCGCATTTTTCCAGTAAGATATGGTGATCAACTGTGTCGAGCGCCTTTGTAAGATCTATCAGCGTACACAAGGAGCCAATTTTATCTTCCAAAATCTGCACAGTTTGCTCACTGAGTTCTAAGATAGCATCAACTGTTTTTTTTTAATTTCGGAATCCGTACTGACATGCTGTTAAAACATCATCTTTTTTCAGAAAACTTCTCAAGCGATTATTAACCAATTTTTCGAAATTTTCCCCATTATTGGTAGCATAGATATAGGTCTGTAGGTACCACAATCTGACAATGTGCCATTTTTATGAATTGGTTGAACGTTTGCAATCTTGAAAATTGAAGGTTAATATGACAACTCAGTAGACAGCTCCACACACTGGTTAAAAAGGCAACTCAGTACTCAGATATAACCGGACTTATATTTTTTGTATTAGGTTGTTACTTATTAGGTTGTTTTTTTTTCAGGCTTTTAATTACTTCATGAACTTCCTGGGGTGAAATGGTTTTAAAAAAACATTGTATTTTCATTCTTTGCAACATTTTTAAAATTTTGTGTTGTTTTAGTTTCGATTAGCTTCTGACCAAACTCAATTTACAAAATCTTTAACTTCTTCTGCACTCGGAATGCTGTGTTTTGAACCCACTTGTTCTTCGTTTTCTCTAATCTCACCAATGACTTCATAATTTTTTTCGAACCTTTTGAAAGTCTTCTTTCAAAGAAAGTTTTTTTTCTTTTCGAAACAAGCTTTTTATTTTTTCCGTTGTTCCTGGAAAATATCAAGATTACAATCACTCTCATGATCAAGTGTTTTTGGTACAATTCAATCTTCTCATTACTCTCAATTTTAATTGCTGCTATTCAACTTTTCCTTTTTTTTATTGGAAGCTTGGGAATGAATTTTTCACAGGTAGACTGGATAGCTATTAAGAGCTGTGATAAGTAATCATTTACATCTTCAGTCTCTTTTTTCAACTCAATTTTTTCAGTGGTCTGACACAGCTCAAAATTGAACTTCAGAAAGTCTCATGCTTCTCAAAACGTTCCAGTTATCCTAAAATTCCAGAATTTGTTTTTAAGCAAAGTTTTGTTTTCAGGTAGAAATGGTGCATCTAATTCTACCATCTCCTGATTCGATATTGAGTTGTGTTGGACCATTACTAACAAAAAAAATCGTAGAAAATACATCTATTGTTGACTGGCTGCTTTAAGTTATTCGAGTACTTCACTTTTCGTTAATTTTATCACAAACAAGCAGGCTGTTTTCAAGATTTAGAGAGTCACTTGTCGACTTAGACACATCAACATTCATGCCTCCACATACAGTGTGTATATCTCTAGGCTGCATTTTCAACTCGAACAGATAAAGTTGTAAATGATCAAGAAACTTACAATTGTTCATATGAGATACGTTATAGACAAAAGTTATAAAAAAAGTTTTCTCTCCATCGTTGTCGCATAGAATGATTAAAAATTGCAATTCGTCTGAAGTCAGTTCTTCAATTTTTTATATGAAATACCTTCGCTTACGTAGAAAGTAGCACCTCCGCTGCGTCTGTTCCTATTCACTGTTTCCATGGATTGGTAAATGCCAATTTGAAAATTTCAAACTCCATATAATATTTCAGCCATGTTTCAGTAAGAGCTATACTTTGCCGCTTATTATTTTTAGTTTCATGAAGAAGCTCTTAGGATTGGTGAATTTGCGCTAATAGGCGAATGTTTTGGAAAAGAATGGACATTCAGCTTAAGGTATCACTCCTTTTTCTGACCTTTT